CTTTGACCGATTGCAGTTTTTAGAGCTATTTTGCCCCGGGGTTTACTCTCCTTGGACTTAGAAATGGATAATATCAGTAGATAACTATTGAATGTACCCAATGTAAGATAAATTCTAGCCAAAATAAGCAGGCGAAGAGACGCAACAAAGGGTCAGGCAGTTTATTTGAGCGCAATTCCAGGGTGATATCCCCCCGTCTGGCTATCACAGGCCGGGGAAGTCACACTCAGCAGGGCAGACAGCGAGTTTTTAAAGAAGGTAGGGGGAGGCAGAGCTTAGATTTACAGCGCGCTCGAGGATTGGCTAGCCCTAAGGCACATTTTTCAGGTTGGGAGGGGACAGCAGCTGGGGACTTTGGCATGTCCGACGTGCTCGCCCCTCCCCCCAGCGCCTTCAACCTTACACGCAATATATTGGAAAGTCTGTTTAGTAATACATGACTTCTGGCCCTTTACAACCACTCAGTAAATGCTGATTACTTCTACTTAGAAAAACTATATACTAAAATTACATGAATTCTATCAATCCTTGATATCTGTAACTAGGAATGAACTGAACAGGAATTACTGTTTGTTCCGTAATTTATGTAAAATTCCAACTTGACCAAATAATTTTCTGATGTCTTGTTTTAGGCAAAGGATCACTGTAGACTTTAATTGTATTTAATGATGTAACAAGATGTATCCTGTTCCCCTTAGGTCGTCTTGTCTCGATATCCAACATCTGGTGAGGCAGAAACACACATTAAAAAACTTACTGTGCTAGAATCTCAAAAGTACCGGTATAAGTCAGTGATAGGAAATCCCGGGGCAAAATACCTCTCAAAACCGAAATCAGTCAAAGGGAGAAATTAAATTTAAAATCCGTTTATTGTTCACGAACTTCAGTCCGGGCCGTCTCTGTTTCCTGTTCTACCAGAAGCAAAACCGGCCTTCCCCCTCATCTCTTAGGTACAGATAAGCCCTCTATTTCACAGGTAATTACCCATTGATATGGACATGAACTTCTCTCCATCCCTGATGAATGAAATGATGCAAATGCACTAAAGCCGTACTTGTTTCCACCTCTGAATGTCTTATGATATGCAGATGTACTAAAGCCAGGTGAGATATTCTGGAAATAATACAAATTTACCCACAACGGGATATGGAAAATCATATTTTAGCCTACACTACAATTATTTTAATCATGGATAGCTAACCTTTTTTCCTATGGACCCCATCTCTCCAGTCTCAACACTTGACAGACATAACAAAGATTTCTTCTATAAAAACTCCAGGACTTCTTAGTATGGCTAATTTGACCTGTATATTTATTTATAGTTTTGTCCTCGTCAAATTTATAACCTGACTAGTCTCCTTCCTTAGTGATCCTTGAAGGGAAAAAGACGATTAAGTAAATACAAGATTTAATAACAGCCTCTCAATTCTGTAGTTAAAGATACTTCTTTCTCAAATTCAGTGGTGTTTACACCTAAAATCCTTGGAAACAGCATAATGTATCCCAGTTAGTAAATGCCTTTCTACATTTCCAAATTAGTACTATAATGGCTTCACAAGTGTTCCTCTCTTCCCTCCCTTCAGCTACCGGTTTAGAAGTAGCAAGGAAAATTACTTCCATGGGAAGGGAATTACTATTTGTTGAGTGGGAAATAGTGTAAAACTTACTTTGTATGGATGACAAGAAAGCGAGGACCGTATGTCTGCAAGAGAGAATGCTCAAGATTCCAAAGGATTTTCGTTTTGCTGATGAATGAGGTACTTTATGAAACCTGAAATTTAGGAAAAGTTATAAAAACCTCTTTTTAATGGTGATAGTTGAAAAGCCTCTGGATTCTTGAAATCTCCGTTCACAGTGCTATTTGAGGACCACCCAAATGCTCTGGCAGCTTTGGCTTTTGTAGGGAGAGGCTGGTAAAAACAGTTGCCAAGTCCACAAAAGCTCTTTCCTTTGGATGCCCCAGGTAATAACGTAGTACTTTGCTCCCTAAAGGACACAGGGCTTTATCTGACCACCCTCAAGGTTCTGGCAGTTACTAAGAATTGGACCTCTAAAGTCTGGTGAGCAATGCATCCTAGTGCAGACCAAGAATTCTGGAGCCTCGGGAAAGTTGAGTTCAACCAGGTCTTTGGGAGACAACCCAAAACCTTGAAGGGTTAGTTAAGGCAAAAAAGAAAACGACCACCCCATCACGTTAAATTACAGATGACCATGGTGGGGGATACAGGTTTCGAAAGGTGTAAACCTCACAAGTATAAACTCTCCAGGTCAGACACCCAGTTTTATTTCTACCAGAGCTGTGCAAAATACGACAAAAAAAGTATTCAAGTGAAACCGTAGTAGTCACGACACTGAAAGTTTGTCAAATCATTCCAAAGACTGGTCCATCAGGTCTGTGCTCAACCTGAGTTCATGTTAAAGACGTTTATGTGAAAAGCATCACGGCATCTTTCAGAGAACGTGATTGGCTCTTAAAAGAGCCTTTGGGTTTAATATTAGCAGTCAAAAGGAAAGTTTACGCCCTTTCCCCACGGATACGGCGTGCAAGCTGGATATCCTTAGGCATGATGGTGACACGCTTAGCGTGGATGGCACACAGGTTGGTGTCCTCGAAGAGCCCCACCAGGTAAGCCTCACACGCCTCCTGCAGCGCCATCACGGCCGAGCTCTGGAAGCGCAGATCAGTCTTGAAGTCCTGCGCGATCTCGCGTACCAGCCGCTGGAACGGTAACTTGCGGATCAGCAGCTCGGTAGATTTCTGGTAGCGGCGGATCTCGCGCAGCGCCACCGTGCCGGGCCGGTAGCGGTGGGGCTTCTTCACACCGCCTGTGGCGGGAGTTGTCTCGATATCCAACATCTGGTGAGGCAGAAACACACATTAAAAAACTTACTGTGCTAGAATCTCAAAAGTACCGGTATAAGTCAGTGATAGGAAATCCCGGGGCAAAATACCTCTCAAAACCGAAATCAGTCAAAGGGAGAAATTAAATTTAAAATCCGTTTATTGTTCACGAACTTCAGTCCGGGCCGTCTCTGTTTCCTGTTCTACCAGAAGCAAAACCGGCCTTCCCCCTCATCTCTTAGGTACAGATAAGCCCTCTATTTCACAGGTAATTACCCATTGATATGGACATGAACTTCTCTCCATCCCTGATGAATGAAATGATGCAAATGCACTAAAGCCGTACTTGTTTCCACCTCTGAATGTCTTATGATATGCAGATGTACTAAAGCCAGGTGAGATATTCTGGAAATAATACAAATTTACCCACAACGGGATATGGAAAATCATATTTTAGCCTACACTACAATTATTTTAATCATGGATAGCTAACCTTTTTTCCTATGGACCCCATCTCTCCAGTCTCAACACTTGACAGACATAACAAAGATTTCTTCTATAAAAACTCCAGGACTTCTTAGTATGGCTAATTTGACCTGTATATTTATTTATAGTTTTGTCCTCGTCAAATTTATAACCTGACTAGTCTCCTTCCTTAGTGATCCTTGAAGGGAAAAAGACGATTAAGTAAATACAAGATTTAATAACAGCCTCTCAATTCTGTAGTTAAAGATACTTCTTTCTCAAATTCAGTGGTGTTTACACCTAAAATCCTTGGAAACAGCATAATGTATCCCAGTTAGTAAATGCCTTTCTACATTTCCAAATTAGTACTATAATGGCTTCACAAGTGTTCCTCTCTTCCCTCCCTTCAGCTACCGGTTTAGAAGTAGCAAGGAAAATTACTTCCATGGGAAGGGAATTACTATTTGTTGAGTGGGAAATAGTGTAAAACTTACTTTGTATGGATGACAAGAAAGCGAGGACCGTATGTCTGCAAGAGAGAATGCTCAAGATTCCAAAGGATTTTCGTTTTGCTGATGAATGAGGTACTTTATGAAACCTGAAATTTAGGAAAAGTTATAAAAACCTCTTTTTAATGGTGATAGTTGAAAAGCCTCTGGATTCTTGAAATCTCCGTTCACAGTGCTATTTGAGGACCACCCAAATGCTCTGGCAGCTTTGGCTTTTGTAGGGAGAGGCTGGTAAAAACAGTTGCCAAGTCCACAAAAGCTCTTTCCTTTGGATGCCCCAGGTAATAACGTAGTACTTTGCTCCCTAAAGGACACAGGGCTTTATCTGACCACCCTCAAGGTTCTGGCAGTTACTAAGAATTGGACCTCTAAAGTCTGGTGAGCAATGCATCCTAGTGCAGACCAAGAATTCTGGAGCCTCGGGAAAGTTGAGTTCAACCAGGTCTTTGGGAGACAACCCAAAACCTTGAAGGGTTAGTTAAGGCAAAAAAGAAAACGACCACCCCATCACGTTAAATTACAGATGACCATGGTGGGGGATACAGGTTTCGAAAGGTGTAAACCTCACAAGTATAAACTCTCCAGGTCAGACACCCAGTTTTATTTCTACCAGAGCTGTGCAAAATACGACAAAAAAAGTATTCAAGTGAAACCGTAGTAGTCACGACACTGAAAGTTTGTCAAATCATTCCAAAGACTGGTCCATCAGGTCTGTGCTCAACCTGAGTTCATGTTAAAGACGTTTATGTGAAAAGCATCACGGCATCTTTCAGAGAACGTGATTGGCTCTTAAAAGAGCCTTTGGGTTTAATATTAGCAGTCAAAAGGAAAGTTTACGCCCTTTCCCCACGGATACGGCGTGCAAGCTGGATATCCTTAGGCATGATGGTGACACGCTTAGCGTGGATGGCACACAGGTTGGTGTCCTCGAAGAGCCCCACCAGGTAAGCCTCACACGCCTCCTGCAGCGCCATCACGGCCGAGCTCTGGAAGCGCAGATCAGTCTTGAAGTCCTGCGCGATCTCGCGTACCAGCCGCTGGAACGGTAACTTGCGGATCAGCAGCTCGGTAGATTTCTGGTAGCGGCGGATCTCGCGCAGCGCCACCGTGCCGGGCCGGTAGCGGTGGGGCTTCTTCACACCGCCTGTGGCGGGAGCGCTCTTGCGGGCAGCCTTGGTGGCCAGCTGTTTGCGCGGAGCCTTGCCGCCGGTGGACTTGCGAGCTGTCTGCTTGGTACGCGCCATTACTTAACTGCAAAACAAGAAACTAGCGATTGCAGCTTGTCCTTGTATTTATACAGGGACAGAATCGCTCTGATTGGGTTATGCGCAATTCGTGTTAGTCACCGGTTGCCAGATTCCGGAAGTTCTCCGAGACATTTAGGATTGGTCTATCCGTTCAATCTAAAGTTTGTGATTGGTTTATGTTGATTAACTTACATCGCCCAGCCACTTAAAAATGTTTTTTCCCTAAGGTATTTGTTTTGATAATGAATGCGTCATATAAAGTGTTACCACAAACACATCAGTTCTTCAGTATGGAATTTTTCTCCTGATTGGAAATACAAAATAGAGTAGAATGCTTGAGACTGTGCCTTAGAATCTCTTTTAAAAGGCAGCGGCCATTTTCTGCAGCTATTAGGTTTTCTTTAAGATCCTATTTCCCGTCTTTATTCCGTTTTAAAAATTCCATTGTCTAGGCATTTCACAAGTCCTATAATTACATTTACGGTCTCTAGCTTACTGTAGCACGATCTTTAGAGTATACTGTTTAGATATAAAGAATTTTGTATTCAGCTTTAAAGCAGCCAATCCAATCTGGAAGCCCGGGCTCTGTTATACCGGAGACTTGACTCAAGCTGGTAAATTGACTCCGCTGTTTGGCTTTGATGCATTTAAAATGTTAGCCCGGGTCTAATGGCAAGAGGAGACAAGGAAATGTTTCCAATACGGAACCCTGAAAAACATGGCCGCGATCGAATCTTAGAACATTTCCTTGCAATACTACAGCCGCACATCATCTCCGAGTTCTTGCCGGAGCGGCCCAAGGTCAATCAATTTACAACAAATCCAGCAGAGCTGCGGACCGGACTGGACCTGGCTAGATAGCAGGCTTTCATTCCTTGGCTTTCGTGTTCAAATGCAGAAGTTTCCACTTTAAAGCCAGGAAGAAAAATGTTTTATCGAAAGGCTTTTTCATTTTTTTGCTTTATAGTGAGTCGATTTCTATTAATGTAACAATATTGTAAATAAACCTATTGGATCCCAGGAAAATATTTTGTACATCCAATAAAAACAAGCAGTTTTGGAATCCCTATTTTACATACTGTCAATCTATTGGCCAGTTTTGGTCCAATCAGAGTTTATATTTGGGAGTCTTTGTTTGTATATACGTGCTATAAATGCTAAGGATTCTTTTGTCGTTTTCTTGTTTTTTTTTTCTTTTCTTGTTTATCATGCCTGAGCCGCCTAAGTCCGCTCCGGCTCCAAAAAAGGGTTCCAAAAAGGCAGTGAATAAGGCTCAGAAAAAAGATGGGAAAAAACGCAAACGCGGCCGGAAAGAGAGCTATTCTATTTATGTGTATAAGGTGCTCAAGCAGGTCCACCCAGACACCGGCATCTCGTCTAAGGCTATGGGCATCATGAACTCGTTCGTCAACGACATCTTCGAGCGCATCGCGGGCGAGGCGTCGCGCCTGGCGCATTACAACAAGCGCTCTACCATCACCTCCAGGGAGATCCAGACGGCCGTGCGCCTGCTGCTGCCCGGGGAGCTGGCCAAGCATGCCGTGTCCGAGGGTACCAAGGCCGTCACCAAGTACACCAGCTCCAAGTAAACTTGTCATCTCTAACAGTTCTATCCATTCAAAAGGCTCTTTTCAGAGCCACTCATTTTTACACGTTAAAGAGTTGTGATAGTAAGTTTCAGCGGATCTTTAAAAGCTTTTTTTAAAAAAATCAATCCTGAAGTAATGTTCCGGTGAAAGGTGTGTTGGTTTGGATTGTCTAGTTTTCTGAATATTTTGTAGTGACTCGGGAGTTTAAAGGTAGAAAATGTTCAAGTACTTCTACTTGGGCTATTTTAAATACACATTAGCCCAATATAATTGTGTACTTTACAAATGTTAACTCATGCTAAGACATTTTTTAGACAGTACACCCAAGACTCAGTTATATGTAGATACTGGACTAAGAGTTTCTGGGGCCAAGACTTTAATCTGTAGATTGTTTCAAGTGTAATTTTTAAATTTGCATCACAAAACTTTCATATCCAATTTTGTGTAGAGGTTAACTGTTGTAATCACCCCTATATATTGCTGAAAAAGGTTTTGAGCCCCTAATTTTGATCCTCATAAATTTCATTTTTGTTCCTTGTTTTCAATCACTGGTTGTGTATTTAGACAAAACTTAACGAGTAATATCTAGACGTGCAGGGAGCACAGAGGGTATGGTTAGAAATCTACAGTTTTTCATGTGTTAATGGTTTGAAAGTGGGCCATTTGTTTTTGTAGTTGAATACAGAATGACATACTGCTTTTTGAATACTTAGGGACCAAGGACAGGCTGCCTCAAATTGTGCCCTTCTTTGCCATGAAGTTTATCTCAGGCTGAAAACAAGACCCCAAAGAACCAGAACCAACTGTATAAAAAGAATTTAGACAGAGGATCTGCTCCTGAAGGAAATTATCACTATAATTGACTACAGTATATGAACGAGGGGAGGTAGTCCAGGAATTTAGCAGTCTGTAAAAATTCCTGCTCTATATTCTGTTTATGTGTGGCCTAGCAGATATTTATCATTTACTTTCATCTTCCTGTGAATTGTCTTCCTTTTCTTTGAAGTCTCAGATGCCTACCTCCTTCTTAGCTCAGGATGACATATATACCTCATTTTGCCTGTCTGGAATCCCATTTCTGTGTGGATTCCCTGTATGTTTATACTTAATTTTGGATTTTCTCCTGTTAATCTGTTTCATAGGAATTTAAATCTGAGATCAGCTAGAAGAACCTTGAAAAACAAGGGAAATTTCTCCTCCCCAAGTATGTGTTTTGGCTTACAGGTTTGCTATTAGGTAAGCCAGAAAGGCATGACCAATGTATGTATGTGCCAATTCAGAATTGTGTGTAAGTGTGAAGGGTACAGAATTGTGAAAGAATGTTCACAGCATAGGCTTATTTTTTTTTTTTTTATCTAAGTCCTTCATTAGGAAATAACTGTGATTTCAGTTCATATTCTATTTTAGGTGGAATATGGATTGTTGAAGATGCTGAGTGTTGGCTAATTTATTGATTGCCTATTGCTGCAAAACAGATTACCTCTGATTTACAAGCTTCCAACTCTACATATATGTTATCCTGCAGTTTCTGTGGGTCTAGGCATGGTTTAGCAAGACCCTCTCCTCTGTAAGGATGCTATCAAGATATAAGCCAGGATCAAGGTCTCTTGGATGCTTGACTGGGGAAATATAAGCTTCTAAACTCACTTAGTGGTTGGCTGGATTTTGTTTCTTTTGATTGTAGAACCAAGGGTCCAATTTTCTCTCTGGCTTTTGGTTTGAAGCCCTGAAAGGCTGTTGGTTGGAGGCCTCCCTTACTTCCTAAAGAATCTTCTAAATTTGTCATTTGTGCCTACCAATATGGATACTTGGTCCATCAAAGCCAGCCTGCAACAGTCAAGAATAACAGATGCTAACAATCTTAGATAACAATCATATACAGAAACTAATTTATTTTACATACTGTTGAGATAGGGACCGTTGATGTAGTCAGAGTAGGGTGAGGGCCTCCGGAGGAGGCAGGGAGGAATATTTGCAGTCAGAGCAATGTAACTATATGCAAGGAAACCGCCCCCTACTAAAACTCTATGTTGAACATTACGCTCTAGAATCATTCTTCAGTGAGATCAGTTAATGTTCCACAGATAAAGAAGAGTAGCACATGTTTTATTATGCTAATAATCTGTAATCATGTGTAAGATTTACTTTAGCATGCTAAAAGGCCCAGGCCTATGTGCTGCCTTTCCTCCTTCAGATGTGACAAGGTGATTTTGCAAACTGAGCAACTAACTTAGCATGCAGACCCAGCTGTAGACGGCATGGTAAAAGGCAGGAAGAATTCCATATTAAAGATAAGATTGCATTTTAACACTCAGGAAGTTCAAGAGGCAAGATTCTTTAGCAAGTAGACAATACCTCAGCCCACCTTGGGATCTGGACAAGCAGCCTTTTGATATGCTCCCGGACCCAGGCGCTAGTGTCCCAGAGAGAAATCAAGGCTGAAAATTCCTTATATTAATTTTTAATATTCAGGGACCACTCAACAAGTCCACACCCCTAAACTCTTTTTCACGTTCTTGAAAAATCCTCAACTGCCTATAAAACCCCTAGACAACGCACCACCACAGACTCTTTTGTCCCCTCCCGGTGTGAGCCGGGAGCTCTGTCCTTTCAATTTATCTCTAAATAAAAGCCTGTACCTTGCTCTCCTACCTTGACTGTGAAGCCCACTCTTCGACTCCGCGAACAAGAACCCCAGCATCAATACCTCTGAATCCTGCTAAGAAATTTCCAAATACAGAATTAAGTGAAAGGAATGGACTGCATTTCTTTTTATGGTCACATAAGAGCGTAGTCTATGAAGCCTAAGCACGTTTTTCTTAAATTACGCTAGGGAATGTCCCTTTATGTGACTATTAATTAGTGTCCAGTATGTGAATTTAGAGAAATTGTGGGATTTTGATAATTTCAATTATTTTTTTCCATTAGAGATGAAAATTATCTGTCCAGTACAAAAGATAACCTAAATGTCGTATGTGAGTAAAATTGTAACATTTCCAGAATATCTCACCTGGCTTTGGCACATCTGCATATCAATTGGCATTCAGTGGTAGAAAGAAGTATGGCTTTAGTGCATTTGCATCATTTCTCAGAGGTGGAGAGAACTCATCTCCATATCAATGGGTAATTACCTGGGCAACAGAGGGTTTATGTGTACCTGAGAAGAGAGAAGGCCGGTTTGCTTCTGCTAGAGCAGGAAAGAGAAAAGGCCTGGACTGCAGTTTGTGAGCGATAAACAGATTTTAAACTTTATTTCTCTCTTTGACTATTTCGGTTTTTAGAGGTATTTTGCCCTGGGTTTCCTCTTCCCAGACTTAATATTGTAATATAATTGTTCCATTGGACAATAACCTTTTTTATCTAAATTTGCTTGTTTGATTTTATTTCAATCTTCTTTGGTAGAAGCAAAATTTCCATCTATCCATCTTAGTTGTATGCTGGAGTCCCTATAAGAAAGCACAGATTAATAAGAAAAAAACAAACAAGTTTATTAAAATGTTTATTTACCATATACATGGGAGAGACCCAGGAAAGTAATTCTAAGAGGTGGCTTGGAGCTCTAGCTTACACAGTATCTTCAACAAAAGACAACAGCTTTGTAGAGAAATAACAAAGGAAATCAGCTTTACATTCCTAAGGATGGAAAATGGTAGGAAGGTTAATATATCGTAGGAAATTAGCAATGTTTATTTGCAAATTCCTCCCATGCCTTTCTGGGCTAAGCAGACAGTGATCTCCAGTACAGAGTTCATATCCTTCCTTAAGGCTGAAAAAGGGGATGGTAGAGGTTTTTCTTCGGTTGCTGTATATTCACTGCCTTCTGCCCCAAATAATTTGTCAGAGGTATATTTGGAGTGATGATTCTGGTTTCCTTCACTTTAATCAACTACATAAAGTTTTGATAGTCTCCCATACTCCTTTGAACTAGGTTTATCTTCCTGCTGGTTCTCTTAGTGATGAGTTATGCATTTTGAGACTTTATCTTATTGAATTTTATGCTGTCATTAAGGTAATAGCCTGAAGACCAATTTTCCATATAAAAAAATAAGGTTCACATTTGCTAGTTAGACTTTGAGGACTACCCACAGTATCAGATCTCCACTAAGACACTCATTTTGTTTTACCTAGACTTTGCCCTGACCCCACTTTACATTGTAAATATGGTACTTTCCTTCCACACTCCTTAAGTAATAAAGTTTCATGTTAAGAGGCAAGTCCACTTGTCAACAATTATACTTTTAGAAATCATCTGTACACCCCAGTGACCTTTCTCATCAACTACAGCTTGAAAGATAATTCTTGAAAGTGAAGCAATTTCCTAAAATTTAGTAAGATTATACCACAATCATTACGAGTGCAAACAAGGTCCTCTGTTAGAAAATTCATTGTATGCTTCTAATTCATTTTTTTTACATATTTCTCAGAAACTTTCACGGAGGGACGTAAAATAGGGAAAGCATTACAGCAGTTTTATTGGCAAAGTAGGTGGCTCTGAAAAGAGCCTTTTTCAGTTCTGATAATACCATGGCTCATGCTCTCTCCCCACGTTTGCGGCGCGCCAGCTGGATATCTTCGGGCATAATGGTGACACGCTTGGCGTGGATGGCACCCAGGTTGGTGTCCTCGAAGAGCCCCACCACGTAGGCCTCGCACGCCTCCTGCATCGCCATCATGGCCGAGCTCTGGAAGCGCAGATCGGTCTTGAAGTACTGCGCGATTTCGCGTACCAACCGCTGGAACGGCAGCTTGCGGATCAGCAGCTCGGTGGACTTCTGGTAGCGGCGGATCTCGCGTAGCGCCACCGTCCTTGGCCGGTAGCGGTGGGCTTCTTCACGCCGCCCGTGACCGGTGCGCTCTTGCGGGCCGCCTTGGTGGCCAGCTGTTTGCGCGGGGCCTTGCCGCCGGTGGATTTGCGAGCTGTCTGCTTAGTACGCGCCTTGAAGACAGCACACAAAAGGAATGAGGCTGTAGAGTAGTACAGTGCAGTTGCGTGCCCTTATTTACAGTAGATCAGTCCACTAATTACCGCGCTGTAACCTAATTGGTTCTGTGCTTCATGGTGAAATGACTGGATTTCCTTAACAGATTTAATATACAACCAAATTTCATTCTTGTTTATCATCCACTTTAAACTGAGTCCATAAAAGGGAGGGTTCATTTAACGTTAATTTTAGTGGGCGTCATTCATTACTTTTTTCTGAAAAGACAAATAACCAACAGATGAAACAATTCTCACTAAAAAGAACGCCGTCATCCGTAAAAGTTATAAAAGCCCGCCCTGGTATGTGATTGGCCAGCAATCCCTATTTTGTTATCTCGTTTATTTTATTCATATTTCAGATTTTAAGACAGCAACTAAGTTGAATATATAACATACATAATTGTGTATGCTTGTATGTACAGTGAATTACTATACAGAAAACACTGTCATTATGGTTCTGTATTCCTACCAGTCATTTCCGTTAACCTGCATCCCAAACTTACGTACTGACAGAATGTCCTTGAATATTGTTTGTAAGTGTATTTTGTCATTTTAGTAAAAAGGGATTCAGATAACTGGCTTCAATTTTTTAAGGATCTTATGGTCCATAAAAGGTGTCTAAGAAGAACTAACCACCACTATGTGTCAAGAACGGGAACACTGGTTGTTTCCAAAATATAAAACTCCAGTAACCTAAGATGAATTTCTCGAATGTCACTTAGAACTTGTATTTCAGCGTTTTAAAGAAAATGTGGGTGGCTCTGAAAAGAGCCTTTGATTTCTGGAATGAGGTCTTTAGCACTGCTACGCGTTTCACTTTCCCTTGGCCTTGTGGTGGCTCTCGGTCTTCTTGGGCAGCAGCACGGCCTGGATGTTAGGCAGGACGCCGCCCTGAGCGATGGTCACGCGGCCCAGCAGCTTGTTGAGCTCCTCGTCGTTGCGAATAGCCAGCTGCAGGTGGCGCGGGATGATACGCGTCTTCTTGTTGTCGCGGGCCGCGTTGCCCGCCAGCTCCAGGATCTCGGCCGTCAGGTACTCCAGCACCGCCGCCAGGTACACGGGCGCGCCGGCCCCAACCCGCTCGGAGTAGTTGCCCTTGCGAAGCAAACGATGAACTCTGCCTACTGGAAACTGGAGCCCAGCTCTAGAAGACCGAGTCTTAGCCTTGGCACGAGCTTTACCTCCTTGCTTCCCGCGTCCAGACATAGTAAGCAATAGTAATGACAGAAAAGAGTCAGAAAAAGACAAAATTGGAATGCTGTAAAAAGATCAAGAAAATGCCAATTATAGTGCTGGATGGAAGTGTAAAACGCAGGGTTGGATTGGTTGAAATTATCTCTCGGACTATCCAACCAGTAAAAAAGATGTGATGCAGTCAAATTTACATAACTCGTCATTACTTCGATGCCAAATCAGATCTGTATTTTTTGCATACCTTATTTGCCTAGACAGCCTATAAAGGAGGACATAGTTTCCGTAAGCAAACGTTTCAGAGTAGTTTTATTATCGTCTGTGTTAGGAGTCAGCAATTTTTTTCATTGACATTGACATGCCTGAACCCGCCAAATCTGCTCCAGCGCCCAAGAAAGGCTCCAAGAAAGCTGTGACCAAAGCGCAGAAGAAGGACGGCAAGAAGCGCAAGCGCAGCCGCAAGGAGAGCTACTCGGTGTACGTGTACAAGGTGCTCAAGCAGGTCCATCCCGACACCGGCATCTCGTCCAAGGCCATGGGCATCATGAACTCCTTCGTCAACGACATCTTCGAGCGCATCGCGGGTGAGGCGTCGCGCCTGGCGCATTACAACAAGCGCTCGACCATCACCTCCAGGGAGATCCAGACGGCCGTGCGCCTGCTGCTGCCCGGGGAGCTGGCCAAGCACGCCGTGTCCGAGGGCACCAAGGCCGTCACTAAGTACACCAGCTCCAAGTAATTATGGCAAAATGCTTTCATATTTAATTCCAAAGGCTCTTTTAAGAGCCACCCACTTTTTCAACACAGAGTTGTAATGGCTTGATGGCATTTTGGCTTATTTTACCAGTAATTCTGGGCCAACAACTGATGGGAGTAAACCTTTAAAGTTTATGGATTGATTTAGTGAAAATAAAACACGGATTATAGTACACCGTTACTAAGACTCCTAATAGTAAAAAGGTTTCTTAACGGTCTAGTTATTCACCAATAATCTGCCTACAACACTAAATTCCAGTTGTTAATGTGGCATAATAATGAATGAATGTAAATTGAAAAATTACCAGGACGGGACCATTTATTTTGAATGAGAATTTTTCCAAGTCATTTATTGAAAAGAGAAACCATTGGCAATACTCCACATTTGAGGTCATGCATGACACTGCCAGCCCAGGAAGAAACACCCACTTTGGTGCTTCTTTTAATATTGTATTTTTTTCCCGGATGGGTTTTATTTTTATCCTTATTTACAAGAATTCTGTTAAATGAGAAAATTCGTTCGTCATTCTAGTTACACATCGCTGGTGTTCTGTCCTATGGAAACAATAATAATGAAAATGTACTCTTGTAATTATAAAGTGCTATGCTCATGTGGAGTAAGTGCTAAAAACAAAAATGCTTAGGGCTCAAACCTAGCTAGGAAAAAAAAAAGCTATCCTTAATTGCATTCCTTTCATGAATTAAATAACAAACTTCCCACTCACTATGTAACATAAATGTGCACACACAACATACACATTCAAAGAAAACACAAAGAGCAAAAGCAATACAAAAAATAGAAAATAATGAGAAATAAAAAATACCAGATGGTTGTAGATGAGTTTATATTTCACAATTTTTGCCTTGCGTTATCTCAACTAAATATCTTAAGGTTTGTATGAGTCTCAGGGAATAAACTAGTTAAAATTATGTTAAATAGTTTGTCCATACATTCATCCATCCAGAGCAGAAAATACATAGCTTTCTATTGACTTCTAAAAATACTGTGACTTACTGTTCAAGGCACAATTATATCAACCCAGTTATATTCAACTCCTAATTTCTGGTATCTATGAACATGTTAGGTTACATGACAATAAAGCAAGGAAGGCTGTAAATGGAATTAAGGTTGCTAACCACTTGACTAAAATAGGAAGATTATATTGGATTATCCATATGAGTCGATATCACAAAGGTCCTTAACAGTGGAAAAGGGAATGGGAATACGAGACCAGAGAGATGGCAGCACGAGAATTTGTCCAGAAATTGCTGGCTTTGAAAATTGAGGGTAGGGGTCCTCAGCCAAGGAAAGAACATCCTCTGGCAGCTGGAAAAGGCAAAGAAACAGACTGGCTTTTTGAGCCCCCAGAGAAGAATGGAGACTTCCTGACACCTAGATTTTAGCTCAGCAAGATCTGTGTCCAAATGCTGTACAGAAACATAAAATTATAAATTTGTATGTGTGTAAGCCACTAAGTTTGTGATGACAATTTTTCAGACAAGCAAGAATTGTACTCACACAAGTTTAATAATTATTAACATGTTCAAGTTATTTAAATTAGAAATATGTTAAAGTTAAATGTGTAAATATTAAGTTGATTATAAATTCTTCATAAATGTTGCAGGCCACATAATTTTGAAATTGCTCTACTTTTGGGAGCTGCAGTTTACATTTCCTTTTTTGTAGGTGTCTAGGGTGTGTGACTTTAACAGCAGAAATAATTTCATGAAGCAGTACTTCCTTCACACATTGTAGTATTACTTATTACAATTTTACTTTAAAAAGCTTACATTCATTATCTGTATAGAATTAATGGAAATTACCTCATAATGTCCAAATAATCCTAAAATGTTTTAATATAATTATTGCACTTATTTTCCTAAAAGTGTCAATATATAAGATTTGAGACATTTCTGTAAGTAATGAACAATGGGTAGGAAAACCAAAGTTCATTTACATGGCAGAATTCAAATTTCAGTGTCTTCTGAGGTACTCTTTCAAAAACACCTAGATGGAATTCAAACACATCTATAGATTTCTCAACAGGTAGTACTGTTGCATAATTAACTCTCTCCCCAGCACTAGGCTATACCTCTTTCCTTGGTACATTCCTTTTCCATCTTTCATTGTCTTGAGCCAGCCAAAATGGAAGGATTGGTTAGGCTAGGAGAGTAAAATCCTGTATCCTAAGGGCCAGTAAACTGCCGTCAAATTCATCTCACTTCTACCGTCTCCTGGAATATATGCTTTTTTCTCTGGGAGAACTGATCGTAATAAACCATTTGGAAACTCAGTTCCTTGATAAGAAAAATGTCTTATAGGATTGTGAAGTGTCTGATTCACAGAGGAAATAACGTTAAGAAATGTTTTCACGTGGCAGAGTAATAATAGCCCTTTAAATCCATGAAGGCTTGGCACCATGCATCAGAGGGAAAAACAAAACTTGGTCATTCTTAGATATTTTAATGAGTGTTAACACACGTTTGGGGATATCGAAAAGTCAAAGCTGAGCTGAAATGTTCCAGAAGACTGAAAGAAACCAGCCACATGTAGGGCTCAGGGACCCATGGAAAAAAGGCTATTAGAATTAATACACTTGGACGAGCTCAGATCTCGGGGCGATTATGATTCTGCGAATGTAGCATACAGACGAAAAGAAAGAGGAAAGGAGGGAAGTGGAAACACTTGGGGCTGCCAGAGTGGAAGACCATGGCTAGGGCAATAATGATAGAAAGAATGCTTTCTTCTAATTCCCCCCTTTCAGATCCCCTAGGTAACTAGAAATAAAATGCACAAACCTCCACTGCCTCTTTAAAAAATACAAAAGGCAGAAAAGTATTTTAAGCATTGAAATAGAAGACATTCTTTCCTGAGCAAATAGGTCTTTCTAGATCCCCTTCTGGGGTAAAATCGCCCCCTCTATGCAGATATCCTTGGTCTTACTCTCCAAGAACTTCAAGTACTTCCGTGGTAAAAAAAAAAAAAAAAAAAAAAAAATTACAACTCTAAATGAAAGCATAAAAGGCTCTGACAAGAGCCGTTGGGATTTGAAAGCCAAACAAAAGCTGCTTTTACTTGGTGCCGGTGTACTTGGTGACGGCCTTGGTGTCCTCGGACACGGCGTGCTTGGCCAGCTCCCCGGGCAGCAGCTGGCGCACGGCCGTCTGGATCTCCCTGGAGGTGATGGTCGAGCGCTTGTTGTAATGCACCAGGCGCGACGCCTCACCCGCGATGCGCTCGAAGATGTCGTTGACGAAGGAGTTCATGATGCCCATGGCCTTGGACGAGATGCCGGTGTCGGGATGGATCTGCTTGAGCACCTTGTACACGTACACCGAGTAGCTCTCCTTGCGGCTGCGCTTGCGCTTCTTGCCGTCCTTCTTCTGAGCCTTGGCCACTGCCTTCTTGGAGCCCTTCTTGGGCGCCGGAGCCGACTTGGTCGGTTTAGATACAATGAAAAGAAAATGCGCTACCGGGATAGAAAAATTGCTTTGACTACAGCGTTCATATTTGTACGGCTTCTATGCAAATAAGGTGTTAAAACTTAGTACTTAGATTCGATAAATTTTCCGGGCTTCCAAACTGTTATGCAAATCAAGTTGTTGGAGTTCACTTTTGTAATTGGTTGCAACGTAGACTGCTTTAGCCAATCATATAGCGCAGTTTACAATACCTCTTGCACATATAATAGCTTCCAATTTGCAGATATTTGTACTTTCGTTGTATTTTTTCTTTATAAGTATCCTCATATAGGAATTTTGAAATGTCTGGCCGTGGAAAACAGGGCGGCAGAGTTCGCGCCAAGGATAAGACGCTTTCCTCCCGTGCCGGGCTGCAGTTCCCCGTGGGTCGCGTGCACCGTCTGCTCCGCAAGGGCAACTACGCCGAGCGGGTCGGGGCCGGCGCGCCCGTGTACCAGGCGGCGGTGCTGGAGTACCTGACGGCCGAGATCCTGGAGCTGGCGGGCAACGCGGTCCGCGACAACAAGAAGACGCGTATCATCCCGCGCCATCTGCAGCTGGCCATCCGCAACGACGAGGAGCTCAACAAGCTGCTGGGCCGCGTGACCATCGCGCAGGGCGGCGTCCTGCCCAACATCCAGGCCGTGCTGCTGCCCAAGAAGACCGAGAGCCACCATAAGGCAAAGGGCAAATAAACTAGGAAAACAGGACATTGAATTCTTGCGGCATCAGTCTTATCAAAAGGCTCTTTTCAGAGAGCCCCTCGTACTCACTAAAAGGGCTTCTTACATTCTTAAATAGCTAACTGAAAATTATTTTAAGTTTATCCAATCTAGAAGTAAATTCAGTACTTAAACTTCTATTGGCTATGTGGAAAAGGGTTGTGTCTCAGGTAGCGCCAATCAATGCAGCTGCCCCTCGGTTGTAAACCAGAAGTCATGTGATAATAAGGCTTGTGTTGAATTTAGGTGCAGACCTAATTAGTGACCCACAGGGTAATAAACCCACACTCAGTATTATCTCAAATTGAAAGCAGTTTCACATCTGAATAGGAGAACCATCTGCATTCATACTTTCTGAAAGAAACAATCTCCAACTCTATTGAACTGGGGTCCTACTCAGTTGTAGTCAACCACACCCTGGAGTCACAGCTCCTTTGAGCAGAGCTAAACAGGGTTCACTGTGACTTTAAAAGGGCACACAGTAATCTTTCTGTATCATTTGCAAGTTTGGGGATCTTAGCATTTTACACAAACTTCAGTTGAAATTGTAAAATGTGGAGTTTTATATAAGGATGTTGTTAGTGAAAAATATGCGTTAATGCATACATTAACGTGAGATCACCGGTCTTAGTGGTTTAAGGAAAAGTTTATAAAACAAAATTTTAAAAATCCTAATTTAAATAGAGAAGGAAATTGTGAAATTAGCGGTCCAAAACTAAAAGAGGGTAAAAAAAACAAAACACTTGGGCAATCATTCAGAGCGCGTTTTTTAAAAAAACTAAGCCAGTTTCAGGTGCCGAAACTTATTCAGCAAATAATTTACATTAAATTCTGCAGGGAAAAGCCAAAGAAACAGCATAAACATAGGGGCGAGAAAGCGTTAAAAATACCGACAGTTAAAGGAGTGGGTTGGAAGATACTACTTTTTGGTCTAAAAGCATCGGACCCGGGGACTTACGTGGTCAGGGAATGAATGTCGCTACCGATATCTCAACCGGGAGTCAAAGGGAGCAAACGCCTTGTCCAATCAGAACAAGTGCAAGGACCTGGTGGTTCTGCGAAGACACCAACCAGGGCTCCATCCACGCCAAGCATGTCACCATCATGCCCAAAGACATTCGGATTGATTCTGCATGGCATCCGTGGAGGGTGTTAAGTCGTTCTTAATTTAATGTCAAAGGCTCCTTTCAGATCTAGAGTCTCCAAAACATTGCTGTGTACTTTTGTTAACAAAAATATACCCACCTTTTTCTCCTCTTTTTCTCGGAAAAGTGTTATTACAAGCTCTTTTATAAGGTCAGTTGGGTGGCTCTGAAAAGAGCCTTAAAGTCACTACCCACAACTAGTCCTAATTCTTGATGGCCGCCTTCTTGGGTTTGGATGGCAGTTTTCGGCTTGGCTGCCTTGGGCTTAGGGGCTTTGGCCTTGGCTGGACTCTTGGCTGCTTTCTTCAGTTTGGCCGCTTTCACCTTTTTCGGGCTCTTGCTCACTTTCTTGGCCCCAGCAGCCACAGCTGGTTCTTCGCCTTCTTCAGGGCCTTTTGTGGTGCTCTTCTACGGAGTGGCCGCACCTGTTGCCTTCTTGGGCTTCTTGGCCGCAGCTGGTTTCTTGGCCTTGGGCTTGGCTTCCTCGGAAGCCGCTTTCTCGTTGAGTTTAAAGGAGCCGGAAGCGCCAGTGCCCTTGATCTGAATCAGGGTGCCCTTGAACACCAGGCTCTTGAGGCCCAACTTGATGCGGCTGTTCTCCAAGTCGTAGCTGGTGGCCGCCAGCGCCGTGTGTGTGTGTGTGTGTGTGTGTGTGTGTGTGTGTGTGTGTGTGTGTGTGTGNTGTGTGTGTGTGTGTGTGTGTGTGTGTGTGTGTGTGTGCGCGCGCGCGCGCGCGCTCTGACACAGATTTACAGGTAAGAGACACAACTTCGTAGTTTTCGTTTAAAATATAAATTCTTCCCTTTGTGCCTTCAAAGCTTGCTCTCTGGTAATAATGTAAACATTATTGCCTTCTCATACATTCAACAGTTGCTTGATTTTCATTGAGATTTATCCAGAAAACCTGTTTCATATGAAGAGAAATAAGAGAGGCTCTTTTTGGATTTCTCTACAGCTACTTGGAATAACAGCTATTTCTGATAATAAACGTCATTATGTTGTCTGTAAAAGCTTTATCAGATCCTGTGACTATTTAGAGGGTTAATGAATTTTGGGACTTTAAGCATTCAACATTTGTCTGGGAAAATGGGAAATGGAGTAATCAGTGATTCTCCTGACATGCTTTGTTGGACATATGCTGTATAGCTACTGGCAGAGGAGATCCAGGAAGAGGCATAAAAGAGACTTGGGCCCCTTTACTGGTCTAAAAATATTCTTTTATTGACCTTGGTTTCATTGAGGTTGGGGGTGTCAGTTATTAAAATGTTCACAAGCTTTGGGTTCAGAGATATGTCATGTTTGGGGAAGATAATGGCAAAGTATTCAAGTAACAGAATAAAGGAGTATACACAGGCCCAGCACATTCACACACACACACACACACACACACACACATTTCTATAGAATTACACAGAGAGGGAGATATTAAAACATGCATGCTTTATATTCAGTACATTTCTCACTTCTATAAGTAAGGATATAGGCTTATAGAAAACACATTACAGTTTATGCTTAATGTTAAATAAGAAATAGATTGATGGTAGATATGATTTAATCTGATTTTCTTTCTCCTCAAAATATATGTTTGTCTCTAACATTATGTTTCTTTCAAAGCATGTACAAATCTCTGTTTCACTGTGACTATGAATGGAAGAAATCCTGGAAACAGCAAAGCCCAAAAAGTGAGGGTTTCATACTTCTACATGATCTCATCAAAATCAACAAATGATTACTTAAGAACATCTAACTTAAACATGAAAAATTAATACATGTTAATAAAAAATGTTAATAAAAATTAAAAGCTAACGCAATTCAAATGGGTGAGATGAAATGAGAAATCAGCTTATTACAAGTCATTTTTACTTTGTGTATTCACTTATTGTAGAGCTTATGTACTCCTAATCATCTTTGAATAGTTTGACTTACTATATTTGGTTTTGAGTCTCACTTGAAGAATATTTCTTTGACAGTAGTAAAGAGGATGAATTACAGAGAGGGTGAGGACAATCAGAGGTCATAAAAAGACTGTGAGAATAGCCAGTCCAGACAAGAAATAGAAGAGCCAGAATTACAAACCATGATGGGGGACATAAAAGAGGAGCAGCACCAACAAAGGAAGAGCTGTCTTAGACACTTAAATGTAGGAAATCTTGCAGGTACTACCCCATTCACCTTCATGGTTCACCTTTACGTCAATAACTGAAGTGTTTCCCTTCAGATCTGTCCCCTTGCCTAATTACCAAACTTGTGTTTCCAAATGGTTGCTGGATATATACTTCTACATCTACCTACTCAAGACTCTCAACATGAGTAGCCTCACCGAAGTAGTTTCCAATCAGATTACCCCTTCCAGTTGACATTCTTATAAATTCTGTTAACAGGCCTATTTTATTCACTGAGCCATACTTGACTGGGTGAAGCCTTATTTTCCATTGAAGGTGTAGAGCAACTATGAAATAAGTAGTCTGTTCTAGTTTCTACCACCGAGCTCTGAATGGCCCAACTAAGTGTCTCTTTACAGAGTGTTCTCACATTAATATAGACAGAATTCTTTAGGAACATTCAGAATGTTTCAGAAACTATATTCCTATTAGATATGATAAAGGAATGTAAAACCTATAGGGCTTTTGGTCCCCTTCACATGTTGAAGAAATAAAACAATTCTGTCAACAAAATGACCCTTCTTTATCAATACAGAGGAGAGAGAACAATTTATTATTGGGTAATAAATATGAACGGATTTACATTCATGTCAATTACCACAAAAATAACTAGTTAGGAAAAAAAATCTCATACATCTTATACAGCAAAACAGAGGAAACAACGACTTATTTTCTAGAGAAGCAGGAGCTACACCTTATGACAATCTCCTATGTTTCTTGTGAGAGACTACTAAGCTAATTCCAGAGGTACATTTTTATATATCTAGAGATTATCTGGCCCCCAACCTAGCAAGTACCTCTACATTGTAAAAACTGGAGACTGGGCTTTATCCCTAGAAAAAAATTCTCTCTATTCCTAAGAGAAGATAATAAAAAACTCACACATTTCTTCAAGAGGGGAGGAAATGACCTCTTTAATGTTTATAAATGGAAAAAAATCAATGCCATTTATCCTTATACACCTCCATCACATTGTTGTTACTAACATGATTTTTCACTCCAACATTCATGAACTTCCCAATGCTCCTCTCTGCACATTTTGAAATTCGGTGTTTTAAGACTTTTAGGATCCCATAGAAGAGGGATTCTTCACCATTTTTGTTTCAGGGACTGTGTATATCGAAAAAAGCTAATAGGCCCCTTACCCAGAATATTACTTTAAATGCTTAATATTGTATACATAGGATTACAAAGAAAAAAAATATTAACATACTGTGGGTAAAACTGTAACATTTCCAGAATATATCTCCTGGTTTTAGAACATCTTCATATTAATAGGCGTTCAGAGGTGGAAAGAAGTATGGCTATAGTGCATTTGCATCATTCCTCAGGGGTGGAGAGAAGTTCATCTCCATATCAGTGGGTAATTACCTGGGCAACAGAGGGCTTCTCGGTACCTGAGAGGTGAGGGAGAGCGCTTGTTTTGCTTCTGCTGGAGCAGGAAACAGAGAAGTGCCCGGACTACAGTTCATGAGCAATAAACGGGTTTTAAACTTTATTTCTCCCTTTGACTGATTCCGGTTTTTAGAGATATTTTGCCCCGGGACTTCCTCTCCCTGGACTTACACATATCATTTTCAAATTTGCCAAAAATCCAAATTGGTGAAGTATTAACATATATGCTTCTTTATTAATATATTGAATAAGATAACCCGTATGACCAAGAATTACCACAGGTTAGGAGTTGAGAGCAGCCACAAGTGTCACAATGATATTGAGTGCTTATTTGTGGATATGTTTTTAAACACTTTGCATAGACTACCTCTTTTTAACTTGAATGCTCTATAATTTACACGTTCTTATACATTTGAATTGAAAAAACAGTACAGACTGGCCAAGGTCACATAGCTAGCATGTGCAGCAGGCTGTCCCCGGAGCTTAACTGGGTGCCATATGATAACTGGTTGGAGAAATACAATGTGGTAATTTTATTTAGAAACAGTGCTACCTGAAGCTGTCCATAATTAAATATGCAATTAAACCATAAACTAGGCTCACAACAGAACACAGTTCTAATCACTTTGGGATATACATATTTATAACTTCAGTGCAGCCCTGAATTTTTAACGTGATTTGACCTCTATGTAATCATTTACTTTTAGTTGCCTCAGTAGGGTTATCCAGAGTACATACAGAAGAGCCCTGTTCAGTTAACCGGACATTCATAAATTGATAAAATGAAACTTAAGCAATAAAAATATGATTTGCTTAAAACTATTTAAAACGTCTTAGACAAGCTTGTATTAGCCAATTTCATATTCTGGAAAATCTGAAGGAAAAGCGTCAGATTTCTTTGTGGAAAGTGCATGAATTGCTCTACTTAATGGCCGCAAATATTGTACACACACACACAATCTGTACAAGCATTTATTAAAGCCCCTCTCCAAGATCTATTGCTTCAGGCGCCCCATTTGGTCTGGTCTCCAGAGCTCTGAGCAAGGGACAAATAAGCAAAGGGCGTGAACTGAGTGTGGCTACCGCCCCTGCTCTTGCGGTTTTCTATCAGGTCCGTTACATTACTATAAAGGCATCGAGCGGTTGCTCTTGTTGGATTGCAGGTTTAGGAAGAGAGTGTGGTATGTCTGGTCGCGGTAAAGGCGGGAAGGGTCTGGGTAAAGGTGGTGCTAAGCGCCACCGTAAGGTGCTGCGGGACAACATCCAGGGCATTACCAAGCCTGCCATCCGCCGTCTGGCAAGGCGCGGTGGGGTCAAGCGCATCTCCGGCCTCATTTACGAAGAGACCCGCGGGGTGCTGAAGGTGTTTCTGGAGAACGTGATTCGGGATGCTGTCACCTACACGGAGCACGCCAAGCGCAAGACGGTCACGGCCATGGATGTGGTCTATGCGCTCAAGCGCCAGGGCCGCACTCTGTACGGCTTCGGAGGCTAAGTAAATTCAATTCCAGCTTGCCACTTCACATCTATTAAACCCAAAGGCCCTTTTCAGGGCCATGTAATTTATTCACAAGAAGTTGTAATGCTTCCCATCTTAACTCAGACGGTGAGGCTTCTCTAGTACTTCGTGTGTTTCTCGCTGCGTTTGCAACTAAGATCTTAAAAGCTGACCCTAATGTCATTTGTGTTTGCTGTCTGATGGAGAAGATGTATTATACACAAGGCAGAGGATTGGAGAGCACAACTTGTCTGGTACTACTAGAATTGAAAAGGGGTAGATTAGGCACTTGAGTTCATCTTAAAAGTAGATTCTGATATCACCTGGTAGGCTGGAGGGGAACACAAGGGTGACAGGCAAAGTATGTAGAAGGCAGTGAGTCCTGGAGGAACCACAGTTGAGTGCATAGGGTTTTGTTTAAAAGGACTGGAGAGACATGCCAACTTTAGCTTTTTGCTTCTCAACTGCCCTCAATCCACCCAGTTACTGGTTTCTCTTGAGTTCAAAATGGCATTTTAACATATCCATGGCTCACGTAAGTATGTAGACCTGTGTTTACCAGGTTTTGTTGCCTTTTTATCCTGAATAGTCAGACTTGATTACAAGCTGATTTACCATAAAGTGTAGATAATGCTGTTTGCTGGCACAAATCCTGACAAGTGCTAGACAGCCTTTCAAACCAGGTCTTCACATTCACATCCCACCTTTTTCTACACATCAGGAAATGAAACAATAAGCAGTTCTCAAGTGGGTTAACAACCATTTCTTACTATCTTTCCACAATTTCCCAGTACTGTCAGCATGTCACTTTTATTTTACAAGTCTGGCATTTTCCCACTATAATGTGTTTGCTCTATAATAAAGGTATAGTAGGACAGATGGCTCCCTAGGTAGAGGTAACATTTCCTGGGGTTTGCTGTCCAAGTGTGAGTAGAAGTCTCCCAGGTCTGGGCTTTTAAAGTCTTTCTTCCCTCTAGCTATTAAGAGTGTTCTTGCTTGACCAAGCAGGGAACATGCTCGAGGACATGCCATAACAATGACTTGTAAGGAACAAGAGTCCCTGACCAGAAGAGCTGCCCCACAGAGCTGGACTAATCACAGTGGTTCTGTTCCATGCAACAAAAGTAACTATCTTTATGCTTAATTTATTGTTCAGTCTCTGTTACAGCAACTTAATTTTACCATACCAAGTATTACTGAACAGTAACCATACTGTTACTGAACAGTACGGACTGTCCTTCCATTTACCTGAAAGCTCTTTTAAGGAATACTGGTGCCAAATAAGCCTCTCTGTAGTATCTCTTACTGAGTTTCATCCTGGGCAAAACACGGGAGCTCATGACATGTTAGAAACTAATGGGTGAACTGTCCCCATATCTTAGGCAGTTCTGATTTGTATATTTCAAAGTACTGCCTCCTCTTAAGAGAAGTTCTTTACAATATATGGATCAAAACCCCGTTAAGAATCTGTTAAATATACATGTGGACAGAAATATTTCACGGGGCTTATTTACCCTCTGAGGCTCATGCAGGAACTCCTCCCAGGGCTCCATGGATTCTTGTTAACCAACTGGAATTTAGGATTTCAGGAGATTCAAAATTTAAGGAAAGAGGGGAAAGTACAAACATAACACAAAAAACACATTAAACAAGAGTAAATTTGTCTTAACACTTTACCTTAGTTTACTAATCTTCCGGCACCCAAGTCTTCTATTTGTTGAGTACAAACTCCTCCCTGCCCTAGAATTTTTACACTGTGGCCTGGAACTTTCATTCCCTGCATTGTTGGTTCCCTTATCTGAAATGTCATCATCACTGTCACTATTGGCACCTGGTTTATTTCAAGTAATTTCATAGTAGTCAGAACTCCTATTTGAAATTATCTTGTTGAGTTATCAGCATGCTTATTATCTTTCTTCTTCCAGTAGGGTATCAGCCCCAGAAGAGCAGGCTTCTGTCTCCCTCACTGCTGGAACTTAATGCCTCACACAAAAGAAATCAATCAGTGTTGACAAAATACTGAACAGAATCACTTCAGCTGCTCTGATTTGTTTCTTGTATCCACTGCTCCATTCTCCCTGTCATGTTTATGACTTGGGCCTTTGTCCTGTCTCATCACTATTATTTCCCTCTTGGTTCCCTGCCACCAGAGGCATCTTCCTGACACTGGAGCCAATCATGTCAGTCCCTGCTCAGAAGCTTTCTATAACTTTTTGTTGTCTGCAAAATAAATCTAAAGTTCATTGTTTGACATCCAGACACTTTACCATTGTATACCATTAACCTCATCTTTACCACAAAGAAAGCTCCACACAGGAAGCTCCATGGGAAGGGGCTTTGTTTAGTTAGCATGTTTTTCTGCATAGTATCAGATGTTCTTAAAGCATAGTACCAGATAAGCAACATCTGTACCTTCTGGGAACTTTTTAGAAAGCCAGGATCCCTGATTTCTCCCTGAGCTAACGAAATAGAAACTCAGGACCAGTAATCTGTTCTTTAACAAGCCCTCTAGGGGATTCTTATGCACACCCAAGTTTGAGAACTAGAGAATAGCTCTGTATCATGAGTAAGTAACTTGAGTCTGGCACTTGAATATGAACCAACCTACTGAATGCTCCTTTTGTCTGCCATGGAAGGCCTTTTTGTATCAGGCAGTAGAGGTGCCTTCCCAAGATCATTTCCCCTCCTCCCTTTGTAACACAGCCTCAGTTTTGTTCAGATCTCCCCTTCCTCCTTGCCGTGTGGTCTAGGGAAGACAGAGTTCCTTTCTTGTCTCATGGATCAAGTCCTGATTCATCCACACCAAGTCGTTAAGTGTCCCATGCCCTTTAGTAAACGTAAATTTGGGGCTGGGTATACAGCTAGTTCTTTGGGGTTGTAAGAGCCTTTAACAACTTCCCCAAGAATATGTAATGATATGCTGAAATGGGAGGTGTTGATCAATAAACTGTGTGCGTGTGTGTGTCTTGGGGATAGATGTGGAATGGAATCAGAAACACTTCAGGTAGAGAAAAACTGCAAAAACCTGGAGGCCAGAAAGGTCATGGTGTATTCCAAAAACTCCAAAAAACAAAAAAATGGAGAAACAAAAACAAAAAGGAAAGAAGAATCCTTTCAGGTTGGTTTGGAGAGGGAGGTGAGGGCTAGAATGCAGGGCTTCAGGCCACACCAGCTTTCTGATTTTGTGCAGTGGGAATCATAAATCTGTGATCACAGGTAATATGAATGATCCTGTGTGCCTTTTAAAGGACCATGGTGACTCTGGAATGGAAACTAGATTCATTATAGACAGAGAAGTTTCAGTATTATCTCAAACAAATCAAGGTGACCAGAAAAAGTTGAAATGCAGTTGTAATTTGGTGACCTGAAAATAAATCCTAGTTTATTACCATGTGCTTATTTCACCTTTTTGAGGGGCAATGGGGGAGACTAGCTGGGAAGGCTGGCTAGGGATTTTTCTCAAGGACAGTGAGTGAGATTACTTGGTGGATTTGGTATGTCCATTTATCGGTGAGGTCTCGCCAACTAAACATTTCTCACTTAATTTCCAGAATGAAGCTCTACCCTTAAATTTACTGAGAAATACAGGAAGAAAATTTGTTTTTTTTCCTGGGTTTACGTCTTTTCCGCATTATGTGATTACGAACTGTAGACCCCCTAGACATCAGTGTTAAACGCTGGAATGTTAAAAAGCACCTCCCTACTTTCTTCCTCATTTTGTCTTCCTGTCTACCCTCTGACCTGCCCTGCGTCCCTCTTCATCTTTGCCAGGATCGTCCCACCGTTGCTGAACTGTGCAGGGAGAGGATTGCTGGAGACAGTATATAGGCTGACGGAATTGCAAAAGTCGCAAGTGACAGTAAAGGACGGATTGGAAGCTGCAGAGCCAATCTTTATGTTCTGTGGCTATACTAGTGGAGGAGACTGAGGCGGCTGTATACTGAGAATTGTTTTTTGCAGGTCGTTTGCGTACTGTCGGGGACAGGAGTGAGGGGAAAGTCTTGTATACCTCATTAGACTTTAAAAAGAATTCTGAGAGCTTTTTAAAAAAGTTTAGGAAAGAAACAGACAAAGCAAAACTAGCAATTATTAACTGTTTTTCCCCTACTGGATTGCTGCAGTTGCCCAGCAAAATCGGTTTGTAAAGAATCTTAGGAGAGATGCTTAAGCCAGGACTTTTAAAACCCTAGGCAAAAGGCCGGTGGATAAGGGACTGAGATGAACGTAATTAGACTCAGCAAAAGAACGTGGGGCTTGTAGCTCTGGAGGGGAGCGTGTTCCTGGTCCGGGGTGAACACACCGGTGTGACCGAAATCAGTCTAGGGAAATGCTAGATTGAGAGAAACCCTCTTATTGCTCACAGTGAGGCCTGGCTCCGTCCCCTCTGGCCACCACTCTCGCTCTTCTCTTTCTCCCTGGTCCCGGCTAGCGGTTCTCAGTCCCAGCAGCCACGGCGCGCGCCCGCTCACTTCCCCACCCGCCCCTTCCGGGAGGAACCCAGCGGGCGGGCCTCGGCTACTGACAAGCGCCAGACCAATTATGCAACGGAGGAACGGAGAGACCTGCCTCTTACCCCTTGCAGCGGAAGCTGCAGCGGTATCTGAGTGGGCTGAGGACAACCGGGAGATTCTGGAAATTTGGTGCTTTACCCCAGACAGGCATCCAAGGTGTCATTGAAGTTGGAAGTCCCGCTTTTAACAGAATTTTGTTACTGTGGTGTTAGATGCTAAAGTGACGCTTTATAAAAATCTAGAAATCAGTAAGTTTACAGGCTTTAAGCACAACTAGCCCACAGAGCACCTGTGCAAGTTTTATAAAAGTGAGGAGACTCTCCAAGGGGTTAGGGAGTCAGCACTGGCCGTTTTCAGTTCATGTTCGCTTTCACTGCTGCAGACCCTCGGACAGGGCAAGACAGTCAACCAAACGCAGTGAATCCACCAGTTGAGAATCGGTAAGTAGGTTACCGATTACTGCTAATTGAACACCAAGTTTCTAAAGACGGCACATGCTAGTAGTGCACAGCTTTTGACTGAAATCGTGAGCGGCTCTGAAGAGCCTTTGGGTTTCTTAACGCTATTGCGGGCCCAAATTTACTTGGAGTTGGTGTACTTGGTGACGGCCTTGGTGCCCTCGGACACGGCGCGCTTGGCCAGCTCCCCGGACAGCAGAGAGCGCACGGCCGTCTGGATGTCCCTGGAGATGATGGTCGAGCGCTTATTGTAATGCGCCACGCGCGACGCCTCGCCCATGATGCACTCGAAGATGTCGTTGACGAACGACTTCATGCCTACAATGATTGTTAGCGCACCTTGGTTATTTGTAGACAATGTTATGCAAATGAAGATTTCGTTTTACAACCGCTGATTCGTTCTTTGGTCTTAAGTATGCAAGCAAATGAATGATTGTAGATCTACTTTCCCATTGGTCATATGATGAAAACAATTTTCCAGCTATCGGGCCAGTTTCTTTAATCTGGTTAACCTATTTTTTACAAATTCTGATTAGTTTATAACAATTCGAATTAATTTTGAATACGAGAAGTCACTATGTTTTGAAATGCGAGGGGGGCAACCTATAACAAGTTAAGATTATTTTATAACAATTCAGTATACTTTGTTGATTAATTTTTAAAGCAGAAGTCGCTCTTTCCTGTTTTGAAATGCCGGATAGTTCCGTCTCCGATTTGCGAGGCCCGTGTACAGCTCTTGGAAAAGCTGCAACTTTACATTTGAGTCTAGATTCTAGACCAGTGAGAATGGAAGAACGAGAAGAAATAGGCTATCTGAGGTGATCCAGACAATTCCGAGGACGCTGTTTCTCACTGTGAATAGAATGCAGAAATACAGCGTGAAAATAAAAGGGAATAAAACTTAAGAGAGAAAGCAAAATAATATCACTTGAAGGGAGATGAGAAAGGAAGAATTTCTTAGCCAATAAGGCTGAGATAGGGACCGTGGGTGTAGTCAGTGGGGTGAGGGACTCTGGAAAAAGACCCCTACCAAAACTCCATATTAAACAATGTAGCAAAGACAGAGTCACATTAATTCTCTAAAGTGTCCAACTAGGAATATAAGCATTCTTCAGTGAAGATTAGTTAAAACTAAAAAGTCAGGAGTAACTTAGCCTGGAATGTTTGAACATCTTCCAGATAAAAAAATACCTCAGCATAGCCCATGTCTTGTTTGTGTTAATTAAATAAGGCTATTGTAAAATTTACTTCAGCCTGCTAAAAGTCCCAGTTTATCTTTAACTTTACCCAGATGCTGCTTTTCTTCCTCCAACCCCTAATCAAGTAATATATAACCTGGGCAATTAATATAGGAGGCAGGCCCAGCCGTAAACAACATAATAAAGGGGCAGGGAGGATTCCATCTTAAAGATAAGATTGCATTTTTACACCCATGAAGTTAAGAAGTAAGATTCTTAACTTAATATTTAACAAACAGACAATAACTCAGCTCACCTTGAAAGCAAGACAAGCAGCCTTGATTAATATACTCCCAAACCAAGAAACTGCTATTCGGAGAAAGAATCAAAGCAATAAATTTCTTATGTTACTCTACAAAATAATCCGGAAAACTGATAAGAAACTTAGTGTCTCTTCAAAAATAAACATTTAGAGACCATTTGGTGGATCTGCATCCCTAGCTCTTTTGTCTCTCAACTGCCTGTAAATCCCCTAGACAACGCACCACTGCGGACTCTCTTCTCCCCTCCTGGCTTGAGCCAGGAGCTCTATTCTCTCACTGTATGTCTAAATAAAAGCCCCTCCGTAGGTCTCCTATCTTGACTGTTTGTTGAGTTCATTCTTTGACTCTGCAAACAAGACCGCAGGCATCAAGGCTACAGTCCTTTGTATTGGAAAGGACTGATTCACACCCTGGTATCTGTTGGGGGGTGCATTGTTTATTTTCCTTGGTTTTTGTCCCTCTCCACAGCGGGAGGATCAGAAAGTTCGTCTAACTAGTGAAAATATATATTTAAAAAATCTAAAACAAGATCACGATGTTTGACAGCCTTGCTTTTAATTTATTATTATTATTTTTGGCTGAAACCGGCTTCTTAGCTAATTCTTCCATACCACCCTTCCTACAGAAGTCTGTCTTCACACTGTATTTGAATCTTTTTCTAACCACCGCTTTCTCACCCCCACACTTGGGCAAGGTAAATCCAAGCACAAAAAAATCCATGTGGCAGGCTAGCAACAAACAAGAGCGGGCTCCTGAATTTACTCTTACTTTTGTTTCACAAAATAGCTTGTTCTTCAGTGTGGAGGAGGAAATCTCCTTAAGACCTATTCAATTTATTTCTTCTTTATTCCCTGTTTAGCAATGTAGCAACGTTTAGAATAGCTAATGTGGTTTATATTTATTTATTTAATCCTAAAAATGCTACCTGATGAGTATTACTATTTTTTCCATTTTACAGAAAAGGAAACTAGAGAACCCGAAGCAAGACTTTTCCTGAAAATCCTACCTCATGTAAGTAGTGGAGCCAGGATAATGGTTTTGGCAATAGTATGGCTTGAGTCTTGGCCATTTACCAGAAGACTCTAGCTGTGCTGGTGGGCTGTTTTAGAAAAAGAAATAGCAATTTTTTTATTTCTTCTAATTTTAAAAGCATGGAAAGTAGAGCATTTCCTTAATGACTAAAAGATGGTTAAAAATGAAAAAAAACCACTTAGATTCTATAATATACCATGGTCAGTGGAGAAAGCAAAATAAGAGAGAAAATTAAAACTGGACTGAAGAAAAAGTGGCAAAGTAGGAGAAAACACACATACACACACACACACACACACACACACACACACGCACACACTAGAAGGACAGCAGAAGAATGGGATAAAAAGAAATTCACCTAAAAAACATGAGTTGGTATCTCAGAGAGCCACAAAATGTACATACAGATAGGAAACCACAGGTATACAGTGATACAATTTGTGACAAGAAGGGACAAGAAGAGAAAGGCTGATAAATTAGAATTATACCTATAAGATGTTCAACTAAGATAGAAGGAATGAGACCAATAATTGAATTTAATGAAGTAACACTGCTTGCTGTTCATGATTTTTAAATTCCTGATGAAGATTTAAAAATTCCTCCACTTCTTTATCTATTTAAAAATGGTGACATAACATATATAAAAAGAACAAGAACAAACACAGTAAAGCTAGAACTATCCAGTGAACATGAGATTCCTTATCTTGATTAAAGAGATTTTAAAATTACAGTAAAATATCTCATCTATAAAAAAGGGTTTATGCAACATAAACAAGAACTATAAAAAATTACCTGGTATTCAAAACCCAGATTAAGAACTATTATGTTATTAGTTATTTACTAGGTAGGCCCTATTATTCTCACTAATTCAATCTCTCCATGCCCCCACCCACACACACTCTCAGACAAAAACCAAACCATCCTCATTTTGTGTTAATGGTTCATTTTTCTTTATAGTTTCAACATTTAAGTACAGATTCATAAGCTGAACATTGTTTAATTTTATCTATTTTTATCATCACATCAATAGCATACTCTGTATATTTATGATTTTTTTCATTAAACTAATGTTTTTGAGATTCATTCATGTTGATATGTTACTCTACTACCATCATTTTACTGCTAAACAGTGACATTAGTTTACCTAAATTACATAGTAGATGCTTGTGTCTGTTTGAGATTCTTGAGCTCAGTACTTTTGTGAACTTTCTTGTAATGTTTCCTGGTATAAATGTGCACACATTTCTCTTGGATATATGTAAAAGGAACTTCGTGAAAAATTTATCTTCCACAGCAGTTGATTTATAGATCTTGTAGTGACAATCTACTTTCCTTGTGTTATAATTACTTGACCCTTTTTCAGACCAGAGATAGAGCCACTTTAAATTCGTCTTCAGAGGTGCCTGGTAGGCTGCCCTGCATTAGTAGCCACTTAGCATATGAATGAATGAATAATTGAACCAAAGGCAAAAAGTTAGTGATAATGAGAAATTCCTTTGAGGGAGTTGGTATATACCTGGTCTAACTGAGCTGGAGGTACTGATGGAAGGATATTGCCACATATTATAGGGAGAACGTTTCCTACAATTCCATCATAAATTTTAGGAACCCATAACAATTATAATGGTTTTCTCTGATACCCCCAGAGCTTGATAGGTATAGGAACCTAGGGCAGGCTGCCCCAAGATGTGCCACTGTGACACACAGATTTTTTTTTGGAAGTTTTTCTAAAAGGTAATTTTTATTCTTTCATGCTCATTTTTAAAAACATTTTTTATTTTATTTTGGTATCGTTAATGTACAATTACATGAACAACATTATGGTCGCTAGACTCTCCCTAATATCAAATCCCCCCCACATATCCCATTACAGTCACTGTCCATCAGCACAGGAAGACACTACAGAATCATTACCTGTCGTCTCTGCATACACTGCCTTTCTCTTGTCCCTACCACTTCCCGCTACATTATGTGTGCTAATAGTAATGCCCCTTTTTCCCCCTTATCCTTCCCTTCCCACCCATCCTCCCCAGTCCCTTTCCCTTTGGTAAATGTTAGTCCATTCTTGGGTTCTGTGAGTCTGCTGCTGTTTTGTTCCTTCAGTTTTGCTTTGTTATTATGCTCCACAGATGAGTGAAATAATTTGATACTTGTCTTTCTTTGCCTGGCTTATTTCACCTAGCATAATACCTCTAGCTCCATCCATGTTTTTTCAAATGGTAGGAGTTGTTTTCTTCTTATGGCTATATAATACTCCATTGTGTATATGTACCACATCTTCTTTATCCATTCATCTACTGATGGACACTTAGGTTGCTTCCACCTCTTGGCTATTGTAAATAGTGCTGCGATAAACATATGGGTGCATATGTCTTTTTCAAACTGGGCTGCTGCCTTCTTAGGGTAAATTCCTAGGAGTGGAATTCCTGGGTCAAATGGTATGTCTATTTTGAGTTTTTTGAGGAACCTCCTTACTGCCTCCCACAATGATTGAACTAGTTTACATTCCCACCTGAAGTGTAGGAGGGTTCCCCTTTCCTATGCCAACCTTTGTTGTTGTTTTGTTTGTCTTTTCCATGTTGGCCATCCTAACTGGTGTGAGGTGATATGTCACTGTGGCTTTAATTTGCACTTTTCTGATGATTAGCGAAGTGGAGCATCTTTTCATGTGCCTGTTGGGCATCTGAATTTCTTCTTTGGAGAAGTGTCTTTTCAGCTCCTCTGCCCATTTTTAAATTGGCTTATTTGCTTTTTGTTTGTTGAGGTGCATGAACTCTTTATATAAATTGGATGTCAAC